ATTCTATGATTCTATGATTCTATTTCATTATAAAAATTTGAGGTGTTTAAATTGACATTTTAATTTGCAATATATTGATTATAAGCATCCGGTATAATATTCTGTATTTGTAAGACTTTTAAAATTATGTTACATTAAACTGTTTATTGAAATAAAAGGTCTTAAATTTATAGCCCAGAAGAGAACTGCAGAGAGAGACAAGCTTCATTTTTGACCCACTCTCTTGTGATGCCTAGGTTGTAGTTCATAGACATACTGTGAATTTGTACTAGAGGTTTCCTACTGTTTTACTGTTGCGTATTTTAAAGAATCGCTAGTGTACTGTGGAATAGGAAGGAGTTCTGTATGACCTATTTAGGACTTAATTTTGCACCAGGATCTACGTGGATGGATGAAGTACACATTCATGACATGATCTTTCTTATGCTGATTTTGTAAGCTTTTCTAATAGTTTGAAAATGTTCAAACATAAGGTCAGCATGCAGGCGTAACAATCAAAAATAGTAACTGGTTGAAGCAGAAACTAGTATACTGGTATCAGTGGCTTTGTGTTCATATTTTTACTCTTCATATCAGATGTATTTCTGTTTGTCAAATCAAGACTGTATGTTCAGTATTGTCACAGCTGATTGCTGCATTCAGTGATTAACCTGGAGATACATAGAGACATTCTGTTTCATAAGACTTGTTTTAATCTTGGTCTTTAATCTTTGGTATTTTTCCCTGTTGACAAATATGCTGAGTACTGTATGACTGGTTGAAAAATATTCCCTCATGCTGTATCCTATTCCTTTGACAAAAACAGGTCTAAAAAAGACAAATCTAAAACAGGAGTAAAACCAGATACTTCTGATCAAGAACCAGAGGGACTGACGCTTTTGGTACCAGACATCCAAAAGACTGCGGAGATAGTTTATGCTGCTACCACCAGTTTGCGCCAAGCAAACCAAGGTAAAATAGAAATACTTTTATAAATACTGTATAGTGTTTATTTGTAATACTTCCATCATTAGATAACTTACAAGTTAGCTTAAAAGCAAGAAAAATACTTCCCTCCTGCCCCCACCACTGACTACATTTTCAAAGTCAGTTGGAACCTTGTGGTAGTCTGAAATGTTTCGAAACAGAGTAATTCAGGTAAGTGAGAGTACATCTCATGACTTTCAGCACAATTATGTAGCACCTTTTTTTTTTTTTTTTCTTTCGTGGCAGAAGACAACATACATGACCTTTAACAGTAAAGCTTTTGCTGTTAAAACGAAATCTTATGTATTAGATTAACTCTTAACTTGATGAATGCAGAACAGAAATCCAAGTCATGGATTGAACCTGCAGACATTCATAGGACCATCTGGTTGTCTAGTAAGGAAAACTAAAGATTAAGTCGCTTAATCAGGGGAGTGGATTTTAAAAAGGTGTGTATAATCAGCTCCTGATTTTGGAGAATACATCAAGAATACATGTGTGAATGTCCATCCACACACGCATATATCATACTTCCTATTTTAAATTTTAAAAAAAGAAAAAATTAGAAGAAACAATAAAAGAATATTCATAGCAGCAGTAGTCATGAATTATTTCTCAGCTGAGCTAACAATATTTACTTCGAGCTGTTCACATAATGACATATATAGTAGTGAGAAAAACAGATTTGTATGCTGTGAGTGATCCCCAGTTTTCAGACTTCTCTGCAAACAATGTCACCATGAAATGTCATTTCAAGTTAAATAATCCCCACGTGCTTGCTGTATTTGTCTCAAAATTACATGGTTAACTACAAATAGTCATCATGTTTTGTATAACAGAAAAGAAGATGGCTGAATACTCCAAAAAGGCTGCTGTGAAGCCCAAGCCTTTGTCTGTTTTACGGTCTCTTGAAGAAAAGTATGTGGCTGTCATGAAAAAACTCCAGTTTGGTAGGTTGAGAACTGTGAATATTTGTGTCTTAGAAAGCAGATACCTAAGAAATATGCAATCTGTTGACAGAATCCCTAATTATTTTAGAAAATTACCAACTTTTTAACATATGTGACTACTGATACTTTTCACATATGGAAAATTATGTAAGTCCGTATTTTCAGGTTACCAACTAATGCACTCTTTGAACTAATAAGAAATGTTTTAAGCATACACTAGATTAGTTCAAGGGACCAGATGAATTCAATGATGGTGTTCATGTTTTCATTCCAGTAATGATTTGTGAGTCTTTCAGTCCTCAAATTATATTGCAATGTTAGTAGATTTTTTTTAAGCTCATATATGACTGTATATATATGTTTGTTAACGTAGCTTTTATTTTTTAAATGGAATAGAATTCAGATCAAAATGTCTTTTTTAAAATGAAACTGTAGTAAACTTCATTGTATCCTTTCAGGGAGTGCGATATGTTGCATTTGGAAAATGTGATGGGAATCGGTGCTTATTTTGGCCATAAAGGGAATGTGTTCAAAAAAAATTCATAAAGAACAAATAGTATCTCATCCAAAAGAGCTATAAAATTATTGCAAAAACATGTTCTCTGAGTATTTTTTGAGTTGTGGTGACAGCATTTGCAATCACATTTCTTTGCTGTTGTATTTGTAAGGGATTTTCCTCACAAATGTTTGTGGAGTGTATGCCAAGAATAGGAGATAGGAAAGTTTGTAATGGCAGCTTTTCACCCTGGCAGCCGTGCTGCAGATTTTGCGTAGTGATTAAAGAAAACTAGCTTCACTGTAATTTTTTATGATTCTCTAATAACATTGCAACCACCACACAAGTTAATACTGTTGGCACTCTGCTTCACACTGATTCCCTTATTAGCATTATTATGTATTCATAAGTATCGTTATATTCCTGGTCTGGAGTAGCTGGTAGCTTTCCAAATCAGAAATGGTGTACGTTTGACAAGTTGCACATGAAAGCTTGTAAATTTGCTGCAGAAATTAATTTGATCCAGGACTATTAGTGCTTTGTTTTCTGTGATCACGGTTAACTCACAAAATATGTATTTTTTATGTTAGTATAATGCAAATTAAACCTTTCTGATTTTAATACTCAGAATCTTTATCCAAGACTAATCCATATTAACTTCACTGTTTTCCTGATGCATTAAAATTTTCTTCTCTTCTAGATACATTTGAAATGGTTTCTGAAGATGATGACGGAAAATTGGTTTTCAAAGTGAATTACCACTACATGTCTCAGGTAAAAAATGCAAGTGACGCCAACAGTGCTGCCAGAGCCCGACGTCTTGCTCAAGAAGCTGTGACTCTTTCAACATCGCTGCCTCTGTCATCTTCATCCAGCGTTTTTGTACGTTGTGATGAGGAGCGGCTTGACATTATGAAGGTAAAGAAGCAAAGTTATTTTTATTTCCCTCTTTCAGCTTGGCATATATATGTTTAAGAAGGTGCCTTAAATCTTAAGAAAAAGCAGAAGTATTCAATTGCTGTCCAAACTTTAACGTAAGTAATAGTATTTTAGAGTCTGATCCTGCTTTCTCAACAACTTGGCAGGGGGGTAGGGAGAGTCCATCTACCCCAGGAGTGCTCTGTTAGCCAAGGAGACTTCACAGAACAAGGTTCATTCTTCTTCAGCTGATCCAAGGGGAAAAGTTTAATTTTGTTACTCTGTTATGGTCAAAGTGTATCTTTGCATACGACCATTTAAGTTGATTAAAAGCAGTAGGTATGGAGAAGTACACTGAATATCTCTGGACCTGAAGTTTGAAGAAAAATTCTGTTAATAGCATGGGTAGAATTTTAGCTCCTTCTATTTTGCTTTCCATTTGTAATCTGGAGAAATGAACATTAGCAGAGGGCTTCACTTACCCACAGTATCAATATCAACAGACTGACAGCCTGCATACAATTATGATGTCTAGCGGTATTTTCTGATAAGTAGCATATGGAAATAAAATGCTTCATATAACTTATAAAAATCTCAACTGTGTGACAAATACAAGGGTTTTTTTGAAAACTGTCATCTTTTTTTTTTTTTTTACAATGGTAGGTTCTCATTACTGGTCCTGCAGACACCCCTTACGCAAATGGTTGCTTTGAATTTGATGTATATTTTCCACAAGACTATCCTAATTCCCCTCCACTTGTGAATCTGGAAACAACTGGAGGCCACAGCGTGAGATTTAATCCAAACCTCTACAATGATGGCAAGGTAGGTCAACTTTGTTCTTGTGTATACACGTAACAAGGAAGTGAAACGGATGAAACTTTTTTTGCAATCAAATGATCAGCCGCTCCTAACATACTGGAGGAAGCTGTTTGGTTAAATCTGGTCTTCAAACGGAAATGGAGAGTCATTTAACAGTTTCAAATGGGAATGATTTCCTTTCTGAATAGTCTTGCAGATTTTTTAAAGCCTTACGACCTGGATTGGACCAAAAAGCAAGTAATTTTGACCTAGAAAAATGTTCTTTTCCATCTTCTTTGTTAAATTAACCAGGCAGAAATCTATTTTGGCTAGCTGAAATACCCAGGATCCTTTCCATGGACAAAGTATGCTTCATATCAGCTGCAACTGAATGTGTTTGCCAAGTGCCCTGTCTCTCTTTTTCCATGCCAAAGTGCTTTTTCTTGAGGGCAGATAAAGACTTTCCCTAACCTCAGTATCCTTTGTAAAAAAAAAAAAAAAA